TATAATGTGAAATATGTATGATTAGATTTTACCATTTAATTTTCTCATTACGCGAAACTTCACGTTTTAAAACTATAAAAACAAATCATAAATCATATGCCCTTTAGAATCCATTATCATCTCAATAATCATAATTGTATAACTTTGACGAAAGAATGATGCTTAATCTGCGAACGTGATAAACATTACGTCATTCAGTAACATTAATCCGTAAAATAGCATTATGTTTAACGTCAATTGTGTTATTCGCATACTTCCTAAATAAATAATTTCATACTATTTTAATACAGAAATAATTAATTTGGATCTATACGGTTCTTYGATATTCATAACACATTATAAGTGATGTGCATACTATGTATGTTGTTGTTTGTATTATATATATAATAATAAATCTACGGTATATTATGAATGTTTTATTGGGAGTCTAGTTCTTGAAAATCTATAAGACAGTGTTTTGAAGATCAAATGTTTTTTTAAACGGTAATTATTTCACCACTCGAACCTTGAACATGTCAGCTAAACTAGCTAAAAAGTTGATTTTATTTTCCAAATATACCGTATACTGCTATTCAGTATATTATAATATTATATATGCATATCGAACGCCTTTCAAACTAGACACAGCTGAATAGTTTTGGTTTTTAGCAGGTCATCACASTATAATTAACGGGTGGTAGAAAATGCCAAAAGTGCGCCGCGTAAAATGTCCAGAAATAAAAGGCCTACAGCTCCACCAAGTGGACATCTATATACTTGCAGGCTACCCAAAATGGTTGTTGGCTTGGTGGTTTTTTTTTTTTCTTTGATAGATTTTGTAGCCACCGCATCGTTAATAAATAATTATATTTACTTGTCACTCGGTTACAGTATAATATATACCGTACACATACYACATACGTCATGCCACCATACAAATTTTCTGACGTCACCAACGTATTTATCTCACGTGTGTTTTGTGCTTTGCAGTGTCTATGCGGATGCAGCGACGGCGGAGGAAACTATCGAGGAAACGCGTCACAACAACAACAACAACTCGCGTTTCAGGCGTATGAGTTGGATCGCCGGCACGTTCTACTTGATTGTCATGATCCTATGGTCCGTCGACTGGCTGGAACCGCAGTGCTGTGACCTGCAGAACAACTACAAGTGGTCGTTCGCGCTCGGTCTCCGGTACATAAACGGACCACCGCCGACGTGATTCTCGCGTCACCGGAATTTGACGTCGCTCTTCTTCCGAATTGTTTTTTTCCGTCCTGACAATCTTTTAAAACGTCCTGTTCACTAAACTATCTTAAGATTTTTTTTTTTTTTTTTAATTTTGATTATTGATACGTTATTAGCTATTTTTCGTTTGATTTGATAATAGTCTATTATAATAGTCTATTATCGATACTTTCGACAGACTTGGGTAAAATACTTTTTAAAAGTATTTCTAATACAATATAATATTCTAATTACTTAAAAAATATATTCGAATATTTTATGATAATAA